AAAAGCATGGGCAATGGCTTTAGCAATGGACATGTCTGGGCAACACCAAATGGCATGCGCATGATGCTGAGGTGGGATGTCAAAAATCACCCTATAGTCACCGAGCGGAGAAGCCTGCTCAACCCTTGACAAGAGGCTCCCAGCATGGCTGATTCTGGTCATATGGACATGGTTTCCCACCTGAGACACAACGGAATTGGATGCAGTGAGTCGTTCAGTCCAACATTTGCGAAGCATGGCATGGATGTCGAAATGGTCCGGTAGGACAGCAATGAACCCCATGATGATCGGCAAAAGAGCATGGGGGACAGCTATCGCGTTGCCAAGGCTCTTGAATGCCTCCGGGATCTTGGCTGAGAGGACGCAATCATCCGTGGCTCCATGCATAGACACAAACCTGGCCGGATCGAAAAACGCGAAACCTCCCGAAGTGATTTGGAGGGCAGCGAAAGCACCCTTAGTGGCCAAATGCTGACGATCGAGGTTGTGCTGTTGGGAGTAGGACGCACAAAGGGTTGGCATCGGCTCCTTGTCTGATGGGATCCTGGCAAGCAAGACCTGGTTCTGCGAAGGATTGGGTCCAAGACCCTTCTTCTTGGCAGCAGGGAGAAAATCCAAGTCCCCATAAAAACGCTTCTCAGAGTTCGAGAGGAGGAGTTGTCGTTGCCATGTTGGTGGAATGACAAACACAAAATCTTCCTCTTGCCAGCTGTGTCTCGGATGGATGTTGGGTGTGATGGGAGCCCCAATGAACTTAGATTCAACATCGGCCCTAACCCAAGATGCAAGCCATCGATTCCGCGTCTGCGGAGAAAGCTGATGAAGCGAAGTGACCTGCTTCCAAACGAGTCTAAATCCTAGCTGGCGAGCTACAAAGAGAAGCACTTCAAAATGTGGGTGCTGAGTAATCTCGTCTGCGCACTCGGCAGCCAAGATGACAAACTGTGCCTTAAAGGCGAACAGTAGTCCCGAGAGGAATGCCCACCCATTGTCCGATGACAAGCCTGTCTTTCTGCCACCCTTTGACCAGGGTTGACATGGAGGGCTCATTGTACCGATCACGTTCGTCTGCGCCTGGCAAGCGAAGAGGGTGGTATTGTCTGCCACCGAACCAGCAACTCCAATGTCATCAGCCTGAAGCCAGGACTGCGTAGGTCGAAGCGGAGCTTGCAAGGCTTTGGCTTGGTGGTTCACTTCCCACAGAAACATCACATCTGGGTCGGCATCAATAGCCACATGCTGACTGAAGAGCACCGATGTGTCTTGCTTAGACAACCATTTCGCTGCAAATTCCCATCCGCCAAACGAACCAGCAAATAGGTGATAAGCAGTCCATGCGGTATCCTCGATGTGGTCAGGTCGGTACATGATGACAGCTTCCGGGGCAAAGGAAAGCGACTTGGATTCGGAGGAGTGCACCAAAACTCCAGCACATGTAATCGTCACCCCAACACAAAGGTTGATGGATCGGGCCTCCAGATTTGGGATATGTAGCTGGCACGGTACACCAGCTCCAAGGTCCTTCTGAAAACCCCTTCCAGGGACAAATTGCAGCAAATTGACCTTCAAGGAAGCACAATCGATCTCCACAACTTCGCCGCAAACCACCGAGATGCCCTCAAGGCAAAGGCAGTGAGATGGTGAGCTCACAGCCTTGAGCAGCTCTCGAAGCTTGGAGGCGAAGGGTTCAGCAACATCAGTGGCCATCATGGACTCAAACATGGCTGCAGCGCGGCAAGGAATCACAAGATCGTCGAGCCTATTGTATGGCGCGGATCCTGTGCGGAGCCGCTTGTGGACGCCCCGTCTGATGCGGGGAGCACCAACCCGAGGCCCTGGAGGGCCTGTCCCCCACGAACCCCTAGGCCTTTGAGCCAGAGGGGCTCCTCCCACTATTATATACATATATGTTCACGTAGCATCAACTTCATGACGTCAGTGCCAGCGAACGTTAACATGCCCCACCCCACCCCACCCCACCCCCATCCCCAACATAGCATCAACTGAAAAACAAAAACGTGAAGACTAGACGACGAGTGGCCCGAAAGCATTTTTCATCACGTAGGAAGTCAGAGTGCGAGTTCTCTGTTAAGTGTGCAGTGTGAAGTGTTAAGTCGAGTGAGTTGAGGTAGTGTGTGGGTTTCTGTGCGTGTATCTATGTCCGTGTGTATATGAGTCTGCGTATGTGTGTGTGTGTTCGAGTAAGTTGAGGCAGTGCGTGGGTCTCTGTGTGTGATGTGTGTGTGTGTATGAGTCCCTGTCTGTGTGTGTATGTCCATGTCTGCTGCTGGTGAAGGTCTTCACTGTACATATAGTGAACGAATTAGCGCGCAGGCCTCCCAAACCCCCCCACCGGCGGCCAAGCGGTGACTGCCCAGCTCATCGTCGTGAGCATTTGGGCTGCTGGTAAGGGGAGAAGCAGCGTGCACGCCTCCAGGAAATCTCACTGAAAAGAGCAAGCTGGAATGAAGCGTACTAAAGTTGTACTACAAAGTCGCCAGTTCTCATCTTCCAGCTCCACAGATTGCTCCGCGTACTAAAGTTCTACTACCAGGTCGCCAGTTGTCATCTTCCAACTCACCAGATACTCCGCGTACTCAAGTTGTACCAAGTCGCCAGTTCTCATCTTCCAGCTCCCCGGATACTCCGCGTACTAAAATTGTACTACCAAGTCGCCAGTTCTCATCTTCCAGCTCCCCGGATACTCCGTGTACTAAAGTTCTACTACCAGGTCGCCAGTTCTCATCTTCCAACTCGCCAGATACTCCGCGTACTCAAGTTGTACTACCAAGTCGCCAGTTCTCATCTTCCAGCTCCCCGGATACTCCGCGTACTAAAGTTGTACTACCAAGTCATTGTACTACCAAGTCACCAGTTCTCATCTGGCCACTCCCCAGATACTCCGCGTACTAGAGTTGTACTACCAAGTCGCCAGTTCTCATCTTCCAGCTCCCCAGCTACTCCGCGGACTACAGTTGTACTACAAAGTCGCCAGTGCTCATCTTCCAGCTCCCCAGATACTCCGCGTACTCAAGTTGTACTACCAAGTCGCCAGTTCTCATCTTCCCACTCCCCAGCTACTCCGCGTACTAAAGTTGTACTACCAAGTCGCCAGTTCTCATCTTCCAGCTCCCCAGCTACTCCGCGTACTAAAGTTGTACTACAAAGTCGCCAGTTCTCAGCTTCCAGCTCCACAGCTTGCTCCGCGTGCTAAAGTTGTACTAGAAACTCGCCAGTTCTCAGCTTCCAGCTCCACAGCTACTCCGCGTACTAAAGTTCTACTACAAAGTCGCCAGTTCTCAGCTTCCAGCTCCACAGATTCCTCCGCGTACTAAAGTTGTACTACAAAGTCGCCAGTTCTCAGCTTCCAGCTCCCCAACTCTCCGCGTACTACAGTTGTACTACAAAGTCGCCAGTTCTCATCTTCCAGCTCCCCAGCTAGTCCGCGTACTAAAGTTGTACTACAAAGTCACCAGTTCTCATCTTCCAACTCCCCAGCTACTCCGCGTACTACAGTTGTACTACAGAGTCGCCAGTTCTCATCTTCCCACTCCCCAGCTACTCCGCGTACTAACGTTGTTCTACCAAGTCGCCAGTTCTCATCTTCCAGCTCCCCGGCTACTCCGCGCACTAAAGTCGTACTACAAAGTCGCCAGTTCTCAGCTTCCAGCTCCACAGATTGCTCAGCGTACTAAAGTTTATACTAGAAAGGCACAATCTCCGCAGAGGGTTGCGCGGTACTTTCACAAATCGCGCTCTCGCCTGCATTTCGCGCACTCGACACGCACGATCTCCGCAGAGGGTTGCGCGGTAATTTCACAAATCGCGCTCTCGCCTGCATTTCGCGCACTCAACACACACGATCTCCGCAGAGGGTTGCGCGGTAATTTCACAAATCGCGCTCTCGCCTGCATTTCGCGCACTCGACACGCAGAGGGTCGCGCGCACACCGGGCGAATCGCACTCTCGCCTGCATTTCGCGCACTCGACACGCACGATCTCCGCAGAGGGTTGCGCGCGCAGCTGGCAAATCGCGCTCTCGCCTGCATTTCGCGCACTCGACACGCACGATCTCCGCAGAGGGTTGCATTTTCGGTTGACGCTGTTCGTCCCACCCTCTGCCTTTAAGAGAGAATTTATAAAGTGGGGAAATGTTTTCATTAGGACATCTCCCGTGCTAGTTTTCCATGCTAGTTTTCCATGTTCACTCATCACACTTGCATATACTCATTGCATGCTTGCATGCTCATCATTAGACTTGCATACTTTGACACTTGCATACTTCGCACTTGGATGCTTTCGCTCTTCCAGTGTGTGTGTGTGTGTAAATGTAAGTGTCGAAGTGTCAGTGTTCAAAGGATTTTCCGGAAGAACCCTTCGCAATGCTTTCGGGAAAAAACTGGCGGCGTTCTATCAGCCGCCAGCCGGCCCAGACGCTGCGTGTATGCACCCTTATTCTATGGCCGATTAGGTCGTGGTTAGTTTGGGATGTTGAGTGTAGCTCACATTGACTTACAATCAACATTTGTACATGTGCACCCTCATCACAATAGAGTTTCAGTTCGCAACTGCAACTCTGTATCAAAAACCTTTGTTTCTATATATGCAAAATAACATAAACACCACGGCGTGCTTGTACCTGACCTTCCCTTTTTCAGCCACCCACCTTCTGCCGCCCCACCGACACGCGGTGCTCAGCCGCTGCGGAGGTAGCTCGGTGGGGCCGCTGCCGCCCAATTGGCGTCCCTCCTCCCGAGGGCAGATCGTCTCCCGGGCGGCGGCCGCGGTGGCTCGGTCAGTGGCCACTGACGGTCGACGAGTGCGGAGGAATCACTGGGTGAACTTCAAAGAATAGGTGCCCAAAGTTGCAGATTGTTCTTTGACATTTGGAATATTCGGTATATAATATATATATAACATTAATTATGTCATAGATTATGTTTTTGTTGATGTTTTTGGGTCAATTGTTTGATTGCCCCTCGTGGATCCAATGAATTCCAATGGCATGTGATTTCTTCAACGAGACGGCCCCTGAACCCAACGACCGACCGACGACCTCCGAGGCCTTTTGGGGCATCACGCTGGAAGACGGCGGTTCCGACCTGGGAGATGACCAGGTCGTGTGATTCGTGCGATTGGACGCCGGCGAAACGGCCAAACTCTCCGAAACCAAGAAAGTAGCGCCTCTGAATGTCTCAGAATGGCCAAGGCTTTGTTTGGACTTCGCGCTGTTGATCATGGATGCTATTCTTGCTTGGAACAAGTGGGGGGATTGGTTGTTCATCGTGTTGTAGCTCCAGATCATGACAACTTGGTGAGTAACCTTAGATGCCTTACCTTCGCTTACCTTGTTATGCTTCTGTACATGGTTCACTACCGCGTAAGGAGGGCGAGCTTGGCTAATTCAAATTCATCAATTGATCACATCATCGATGGTCAACCATATTGAACATTTTTGGGTGGTCTTCAGGACCCGAGGTGGAAAAAGGTTAAACCTGATCAATCTTCAATTTTCCATGTTCTTGGCGGTGCACGAGTTTTCTCGTTTTCTCCGTGTGGTTGTGTTGCTGCGAGGAGTATTCCTCACAGCACTTCTACAAGCACAAGCACAAGCAGCAGCCACAAAGAGAGGCGCCCTTGGCTGCTCTACATGTCCGGTACCCCAACCCTGCTCTCCGTGGCACCCGCTCCGCCCGCTCGCTCGGGGCCGCCGCCGACTCCGTGCCGACTCGACCAAGGCAGCCACGTCCGTGCCGTTGGCCGACCTCAAAGAGGCGGGAGCGTGGCATGGTGTTTTTTTTGGAGTGGGTGATGGGAACCAAGCCAGATAACGGATGAGTTGGGAAGATGAGATGAGTGCGAAGTGAGTTTGATTTTTTCATAGTTCTTTAATGTTATTTGACCGGGATTGGCATCGAAAGGACTCAGCCTATGGGGCATATAATGCGGCATTTTAATGCATGTCATTGAGGCGACAGCCCAAGTCAGTTTCAACTTTTGGAGACACGACATAGACAGCCATCCAGAATTCATGTTTGAATTCCATCGCTCCAGCATTATGTTTGGTTTTTCTTCCGTTATGTTTCACTCTACAGGACAGGTCAGTCTTCGAGCCTCAGCTCAGAACCTCAACATCTTAGGCGGGGAAAGAACACCGAAAGGAAACCAAAACCTCCTAAAACACTTCGACAGGTCGACCCTGTGCCATCTTCGTCCGCTTGACTTCCAACAATCTGACCTGCTAGGCCTGTGCCATCTTCGAGCGCTTCGCACAGGTGGACTCGGAGGCGTGCAGAGTGGGTGAAAGCGGGCGGACATCGAGGTGTTGTTTTGGTTGCGGAGGTTAGGAGGAGTGTTGCAGTAGGAGGATTGTTAGGAGGATGTTGCGGATATCAGACAGGGAAGAGGACTCACCAAGGGCTGACGAATGTATAGTCTGGTTGTCAGTGAAGCCCAAAAGGGCTTTGTAAGCTTGCTGCTGAACCCCCCTCCACCATGTTGCTGTGGAACTATGTGATTTGCCATGTGTCTTTTCTTGATGTTTGGCTGTGCGCGCTGGCATATGATAGACCCACAGATTCACTGGAACTTGCTAAGACTTGCTACCATCTACTACCTTTGTCGGATTCACTGAAGCCTGAAAGATGACCATCCTCAACCTGAATTCGGCTTCGTTGGCCCGGGACCCGGCTGTTTCTCCCCTGCGGCTCCCGGCTCTCCTTAAAGAGATGGCTCCACGGCTCGACGGTCCTGCCTCTGGGCCGATAGGATATCACGAACGCCAGCATGGACATGCGAGACTTCGAGTGGCTCGATGGAGGATGGAGTGGATCGAGCGACCGGTGGACCTGGATCGGTCCCTATCCGATTTTCCGGAGGCGGACGCGAAACAAACCAAGGGTTTGGAGGGGCGCCAAACCCCTGCATTATAGAGGGTTCGAATGCTGCTATGCAGGGTCCCCTGCTATAGAACAGTTTGTATCAGTTTGTACAGATGACAAACCCCATGTTTTTCGCTTCGTCGGTGAGGTCGGGTGAGGTCAGTCCGGAGAAGGGATGAAACTGATCTTAAAACTTGAAAGAACGGTTTGATGTCATCTCCTTTTCACATGGGCATTTTTTCGAGTTCTGAGCGAACTGGGTCTGGGTTCTGACAGATTCAGGTCCGGTCAGTCCAGATGCTCCAAGTGGTTGCACCAAGCTTCAAGTTTGAACACCTGTGACAGGTGTCCCATTTGAGCCGTTGACCTCAGAAGTCGGAGTCGTCTTCGCGGATGGCGAAGTCCCATGACAGCCCAAGCAGTCCATGCGCCGTGCGAAAACAGAAATCAATGCCATCCAATGGAACCCAGATGAACCCGGGTAGCCAAACAGATCCGGTCCTAGCTGCTACATGGCGCACATGAAATGTTTGGGACTCACCCAAGTGACATCCGACCTTGTCCCTCTTTCCCTTTCGGAGGCCGAAGAATACCCCGGAGAGCGCAGCTCCGCCGGAGCCGCCCAGGTCACTTCTGTGCCACATCACCGGAGTGCAGAATGCCCCTTGGAGTGAACAGCAGACTGAATCAACAGACAATGCTGTCGTGCAATCTTGTGCATTTTTGATGTCTCTTTTTGTGACTCGGTTTGCTCAGTTTGCAAACAAAAAGCATAGCATAGGTGAGAACAGCAGAACTGAACAGGACTCTTGTTGGTTAGCCTGTTTATAATTCTGCCTTCCAATGCCTGACCTTGTTGCAGACTGAGCTAGTATATGTTTAAAAATTATGTTTTAGTTATTGACTGGTGTAAGAAAGATGCAGCAGGCTGCATGTGTATATAATGTGTGTGTACTCTCGAACTCAAAACTCGAGACCAGAGAGCAGCAAGTGATGGCTCACTGTGACGTCCAAACCGGGGGACCCCCAACGACCCGAGTATTTTGACCACCGAACATGAAGAAAAGCAAAGAAACATAGACAGACTATACTCCGGGGGGGCTTGGTACTCCGGGTTTTGACCCAGACAAGCTTCATGTCAGACATGAAAGAAACAAGCTTCATTATCTCCCTAACACATCACCCCTATACTGATCTTTGGGAGTTTGGAGGATACCAAAAGAAGACACGAACGCCGAACCCAACAAGCGACGAGGTGAAGGAGCTGGAGCAAGAGTTTGTGAAGCAAGCTTTCTATGCTGCTGACAGGGATCCTTGGGACGCCTTCAGTTGTTTTGCTGCATCCTGGAGGAAGCGTCCAAAGACATTAATATATATAATATTATATATATATTATATTATATATATAATGTATATTATATATATATATTCCAAGACCGCGACCGGCTTTCTGTAGCGTAAAATCCTTAGTTGGTTCGGTAAATCATGTTATTTATATATTTTAATGGTGGTTGGAAGTCGACAGTCTTATATATATGTAGAATGAAAACTCTATCGTTCAGATGTTGTGGTGCAAGTTCCGCCTTCTGGCTTCAAAAGCTAAATTTCTTGCCTTGTATCGGACTTCTGTTTCCCAAATCCCACATGTTTGCCCGAACGGCCTGTCGCTCTTGGGTTGGTGGCCATCGCTCTTAGGTTGGAGGCCATCGCTCTTAGGTTGGAGGCCATCGCTCTTAGGTTGGAGGCCATCGCTCTTGGGTTGGAGGCCATTCCTCTTAGGTTGGAGGCCATCGCTCTTGGGTTGGAGGCCATCGCTCTTAGGTTGGAGGCCATCGCTCTTGGGTTGGAGGCCATCGCTCTTGGGTTGGAGGCCATCGCTCTTGGGTTGGAGGCCATCGCTCTTAGGTTGGAGGCCATCGCTCTCAGGTTGGAGGCCATCGCTCTTGGGTTGGAGGCCATTCCTCTTAGGTTGGAGGCCATCGCTCTTGGGTTGGAGGCCATCGCTCTTAGGTTGGAGGCCATCGCTCTTGGGTTGGAGGCCATCGCTCTTGGGTTGGAGGCCATCGCTCTTGGGTTGGAGGCCATCGCTCTTAGGTTGGAGGCCATCGCTCTTGGGTTGGAGGCCATCGCTCTTGCGGCTCTTGGGTTGGAGGCCATCGCTCTTAGGTTGGAGGCCATTGCGATTAGGTTCCTTAAAGTCTGCACCGTGCACCTTCACCGACTGCTACCCGAGGACCACACGGGGGACATTGATATTTTTTGAGTTCGTCACCTGGCCACTCGGCGTGAAAACGAAAGAGATCACTGTGGTTTTGCATGGGAAAAGAGAGAGGGATAAAGGCACTTGCGGACGGTTTTGGTCTTTGGTTGTCGTGGTGTTATCTTTAAGGTATATTTGATGCCTGGAGTTTGATTGAGGTTGATGGATGCACTTCAGTTCCCAGATGTTTGTTGAACAAAGAGCATGTGATGTCTACAGGGTAGTTTGTATTGTGGATTCAGAAGGCCACGAAGCGACTGGGAGTGTGGAGGTACCCTGACCATGAATTTCATCAGCAAACGACTTTAGCCTGTCGATGGCCAGAAATGTGGTTTGTTGGTCGGCAGTGACAATTCAACATGGCACAACCATATATTTATAATCAATAGAAATAATACATAATAAATCACCACAAAATCTGATGGTATCCATGCCCAAACATAAGTTGACATGATCACAATCAACTCCCAGAAGCTCCGAATCATGTTGGCGGCATGCAAGATGATGTCTCATGTCATCCAATCTCATCAATTTCATCACCCACACAGAAAGCATGTGCCCCATACTTGTATTTTCTACACTCACCATATATACCTCATCCAATCAACCTTCTCGGACACCGCACACACACACACACACACCTTCGACCGGAATCTACTCCGCGGTCGGTGGCGCGGAGACCAGTGGCGAGGTACTCGGCCTTTAGCTTCAGCGAGGCCGTGTGTGTGAACAAGTTCGCGCGCGAGACCAGGGATGTGGCGCGGAAGCACGGCATGAGCATCCTCAACATCGAACGTTTCGCGGCTGCGCTTCGGGTGGAGTGCGGAGCCGGTTCCGCCGACTGTTGCTGAGCGGTTCAGTGGAGCGATGGATGGAGGTTGGACTTTGGGTGTTTGAGTTGGAGTCTGAGTTGGGTCTGAATGTGTCTTGATGGATGAAGTCCTGGAGGTTGCAAGAAGTCCTGGACTATCATGGATCTTTGTTGACAAAAAAATCTTGTGCACCATGACATGGTGCTTCGGACGAGACTTCTAAAATGTTCTTCCTTTTGGACACCACTGGTTTAGTCGGTGATTTTTCGCAGATCGCATGTCCATTCCATTCAGGGACACTCAGGGGTGGGACACAAAAGCGGTTTTCCACGGCTGAAGATGGCCCAACAACAGGCTGGCGCCATGCTTTTTCTTTCAACTTGCACCCCTGTCAGGCCCACATGGATGGATACATGCTTTTTTTTCTAGGGTTTCAGTTGTACCTTCTCAGAAGGTACGACTATATAACAGTGTCTCCAATCACCTTCTGAGAGGTACGACTGGATCCCTAGGGGTTATGATCTTTTATGTGTAGTTTGGGGAGGCACCATTATGATGTCCGGGCGCCAATCAACCTTGTGAGCCGACCATATTCCCGGACGACGGATCATATTCCCGGATTTTCGATCTCTCAAACACCAACGTGCAAAATGCGTTGATCCTTTTGAGTCCACCAGATCGACGAGGTAGGTCGTTTGTCAGACACTTCCCGGAACGCCCTTCGAGCCATCCTCTAAGGCTACAAGAAGTCCTTTGACCGAGCCATGGAACCAATTCAGCAGCCCAGGTGGTACAGGTTCCTGTATGGCTTTCAACCAGGTTCAAGGCGAGGAGAGAACTGCGGGGGGGGTGTTTGTTAAGTGAAAAGAGTTGACCTCTTGGTGTTGCACGATGAAGTACGGAGTGCGTTTGGCATCAAACATAAGAAATCATGTTGCAAGAATCAGCCAAACGTTCAGAGGAGCAAGGAGGCTCCAAAAGCCAAAGGCAAAGAGTTGATTTGTCACCCAACTTGGAGATTGTGTCAGTATTCGAGAGTAGTAATTGAGCGTAGCTGTCTTGAGAGTAGAAGGGTCTTGATGGACAAAAACATGTTAAAGTTATGTTCATCTAGTTTCTATTTCTATCTCTTGCAGTAGCTGTTTTCGGACTAAATCAGGTGTATGATTATCTGTCAGCCACGCGTGCAAACACTAGATGGATCTAGGTGGGTAGAGTATTTCACGCAGGATTTCACGAATGAAGAGGCATTGAATAGGTGTGACATGGTGTGACCACTGCTGAGAGCACCTCCAAGTTCCAGCCAGGGAACGCGATTTGTTTGTGTTGATGAAGCAAACGGGTACTGTGGTGTGCATGGATCTAGCAAAGCGCCAGCTAGAGTGGCCAATGCGAAATGGACCAAAACGGAATGAATCAACATTTGGATGTGTTTTTTGATCCACCAATTAGAACCATCCTGCCTGGCAAAGCAATGGAGCATAGGTTGGAGATGACATTAAAAACAAAAAAAACGTATCGTCACCGGTTGCTTTACCATGAACGGCTATGTTTGAATCCAAAAAATATCCTTTGTTGCATGTCCTCAGGAAAATGGATTGGACAACCTTTGCTTTCAATAGTGTTACTCTGATTCGGCCCAGCTCAATCCGGTTTCAGACCCAGCCGCCTGGGGTGTGATCGTCTGTGACCCGATCAACAGCTGTATACCGTTCGCACTTCCTAGTACTTCCTGTCCGGGTGTTTTGCCTGGAGACCTGTTTTTCCTTTGGAGGGGTAGGGGAGTTGAACGCATGGACACCCAGACAGGATGGTCCTGGTATACTGTGTATGTTATGTGGCCTTGAAAATGGTCTATTATCTGCCTTCTCACGAGCTGTTTGTGGTCATTATCTTGAGGTTTCTCCCTTTTTTTCGTATTCACCTTACATGGGGCGCCCTCTCGACTCTCCACTGAGGATATGACCTCAACAGCAATGGCGTCATCGAGTTTGTCGGCCCAAACGAAACACAGAGGGAAAACCGGAAAACCGCGAGCGAGGGACACGAGCGAGGGACACGCTCCGGGCGGATCCATTTGGGGTTGGGTTGAAATACATGTTCTTTTGAAGAAGACTGGACAATTCAACCCAACAGCATTTAACACTGTGCAAGATTTTAGGGGTGAAATCAGTGAAATCCAACCCAAACTGTTGGATTGGAGAATTCCCCTGCCTTTTCCAGCCAATGTCAATCTTGAAATATCCCAATTCATGGTGAGGAGCATCCCATACATTTCCAGACCGGGGTATATCTACTTCAGTGAAGTGAGGAAAGTAAGGAAGCTGCAGCTGGATCTTTCGGCAACGACAAAAGGGTTCGTTTGAGCCACCTCCGAAACCACAAAAGGGAGTGACCATTTGTACATCTCGAGATATATTCCGTACAGGTATGTACAGGTCCAGTACAGGTATGTACTGGTCCAAATAACCAATGCACAATGATGTAAAACGATGGTAAACACCCAAGGGAGCACCGGCACTCCGTTGAAGCAATGGGGGTCGGAAGACTGGATGGTCCAGGGTCACCGGATGCAGCTGAGCTTTTCCTGAAGAGGTCCAGGTGGAGTGAGTCGGTTCATTAAGGTAGACCAGTGATGAGTGATGAATCACACACACCTTTTGCAGAACGGTTTTACAACAGTTTTACGTTTTACATGTTCATTGTTGTTGTTGTTGTTGCTGTTGTTGCTGTTGCTGCTGCTGCTGCTGCTGGTGTTGTTGTTGCTGTTGCTGCTGCTGGTGTTGTTGTTGTTGTTGTTGTTGCTGTTGTTGCTGTTGCTGTTGCTGCTGCTGCTGCTGCTGGTGTTGTTGTTGTTGCTGTTGTTGTTTTGTGTGTGTTCTATGATATAACCAACAGTCTACATCTCTGAGGTCGAAGACAGACAGGTGATGTTGTTTGCGTTGTGAAAGCTGACTTGGATTGCGATCGTCTGGCTAGAAATCATGCGTGATGTTAAAAATAGTATCAATTAAGTTTATTTCAGTTGAAACGGCCATGACTCCATGAGATTTTGATACCTTCTTTATCAGTGTCACATCAAAACATATTTAATGCGACCTTTCTGTTTGTTGTTCTCTTTTGTTCGCATGCTGCTGATGTAAGAAATATCCGTTTCTTTTTGTCGAAAAGGTGTAAGTCGTTGACATCACCTGATGGGCGTGTGCAAATCATGTGAGATCCACGGCATATTACATATTCGACAGCACCCAAAACAGCCAGGAGGAATCTCATCAACTAACACCGTTCTGTGGAGAAGAAACATACAGATCAAGTTTAGGTTGTCTCAGAAAACAGATCCTCACAGTGGTCCTCACCTATGATTTGATTTGGCCATATTTTTATGGTGTACATATGGTACGCTATAGCTACTATATGTACGGTTTCGATACCCGGAGTTGATGGTGTGTTTTTTTCCATCGGCCAGAGCGAGTTCAAGAACATCATTGGGGACCTTCTGAAGATCCCACCGGGTCTTGAGACACATGGATCGACATGGATCGAGAGTTCGAGAGGTTGTTTGGTTGTTGCGGAACGTTTGAGGTGTCTTTGGTCCAAACACCTGGTTGCATGTTTTTTCTTGTGCTTGGCAAATGATCTAGAAGAAAGCAAGGATCATGGAACGACTAAGAAAACTTGTTTGTTGGATCAAAAGACAAAGTTTGAATGTTGGGGATGAGTTCTTTGGTCGAGAAGGGGGGCACACAGAAGTGCGGACTGAATCCTACAGGCATCTACAGGCAATAAGCAATTGAACTGGCCAGAAGTCAGCAAGTTTTGTCTTCTTATGGTGCATCATCAGGGAGATGCCAAGCCGACAGTCTTTTTGAATATGACAGAATATGATTTATATACAATATCAGGCAAGCAGAGACCATCAAAGACCCATTTCCCTTTTGCAAATGCCACTGAGCTGCTGGGGAAAGGACTGAGTCCTTTGGTTTTATGGCAATTTGTTTGATGGTGGACGGTGACCAACCCCAGCACGTCTTATAGTCTCCTGCCATCGTGGTCGAACCCGGACATGGCCTTCATGGGTGGGTCAATTGGTTCAACAACACAATCACGGCCTTCTTTGCATGTGTTCACGCAAAAAGCATCCCCCTGGGCACAGCAAGACTCGGGAAGACTCCCACCGCTGGTGAAATCGGCAGACACGCCACGTGGGCCTTGCTCCAGTTCTTAAATACAAGTGGGCCTTGCGTGTTCGTGGAAGTCACTTTGGAGCTTGGGAAGTTTATAGAGTTCACCCTGACCTGGTGCAGAGGTCCAACAAAAAGAACTCTTGGCAAGAGTTTCAGGTCTCCAGGTCGGCGTTCCTTCTCCGATCTCAGTACAAAACCAGTTGCCCGCGCCCCCCCCCCTTCGGTGAAGTCGTCCTTCGTTTTGCTTGGTTTTCCAGAAGTCGGCTGGGGGAGAGCGACTCACCACTTCGTGGAAGAACCCGCAAGGATGCCTCAAGAGCGCGTGATGTCTATGTGGCGGAGCGCCGACAAGGCGCCGGGTTGGTCGACGGAGTCGGCGGGGCAGCTCGTGATGCCAAGTCCATCCGGGACGATGGGTGGACCAAGGGAAGTCCCATTCGGGGCGGGCGATATATCGCGATGATACCTAGAGGAACCGTTGGCAAAAATTTTTGCCGAGACACCATTGTGCCCTGATTTCAGCCAAATTCATCGAAAAGCGCCGAATCCAAAAAATAACGCCGAGCAATATGAAAACTGCCGACTTCAATGGTTTTCAGTTGCTAGATTCTCAAACCAACACTTGCCAGATCTTGCCAGTCTTACCAAGCCCTTCCCCGCCCCTTTCCCAAACCAAACTACAGGGTGACCATCCACAGCTTGGGCTTACATATGAGGACCAAGGGATTGGCATCCACAGTTTGGATACCTTGGAATCCTTGCACCGCACAGATGAGAGTTAATCCACAGTTTGGGAGTGCTTACAAAGAACACACTTAAAAGATCCAAAAATGTTTGCCTAAGTTCATGCCTTGT